CATCTGTATTTTTAATGACTGAGGGATAATAATATTTGTACAAAATATGAAGAAAAATAACTATGATAAGGTGATTATACAACTCTTTAGCATATGAAGACAATAGAGGAATAACCCAATTTTTGTCTAAAATAAAAATAGGAATGATTCAACTGCCATTCTGTTATTCTTTGACTTCTGTAATGCTCTATACCCGAACCAACCAAACCCCACTGCCATCGAGTTAATTCTGACTCATAGCGACCCTACAGGACAGAGTAGAACTGTCTCATAGGGTTTAAAACGCTGTAATGTTTATGGAAGCAGACTGCCACATCTTTCTCCCATGGAGCAGCTGGAGGGTTCAAACCGCCAACCTTTCAGTTAGCAGCCGAGTGCTTTAACAACTTCGCCTCTAGGCCTCCCTCCATACCTTAGTAATAATTATAACCATTAATTCTTTATAGAATTATAAATATGTCATTTGACTATGTCAATCTGTATATACATTGTGCCTTAATATGTAAAACAAAGCAATTATTTAATTTATAAAAGTATTTTTTCATTGCTAAATTTCATATGCTTGAAAACCCAAACAAATACTATGAATTTATTTTACTGTTTGAAGGTGTCCATGTTACCAGCAGGGTCCTGGAGCTGCAGTGGTTAAGCATTTGTCTGCTAACCAACAAGTCAGCAGTTCAGATCCACCAGCTGCTCCTTGGAAACCATATGGCCCAAAATTAGTATAAAGCGGGGAAGGTACTTACTGATTGTATTAAACGGCATTATCACCGTAGCTTCTATTCCCACAGTAAGCATTCTGCTGGAAAGCTGACTGAAAGGGTTCTGTGCCTATAATGACTAGTAGAGCTCCTAAAAGGCTGTTGCTTCCATCTGTCAAAGATCCTTTATGAAATAAACGATCTTCTCAAGATTTGCCTGTAGTGTTGGCTTCTGTTGATATAATTTCTCCTTGACAAGCTCTTGAGGGTTCTCACTCTGCCCATATCTGCTACCTCCATTTACTCATTCACTCCGTGATGAAGCCTGCAGAGCATTCCAGGTTCTTCACAACTCTCCTTCGGCCTCACAGTAAGTCTTGGGAATTTACCATAGTCAGCCCATGAGTGACTGGCTTTTTTAGAAGATTGAACAGGGACCCCAGAGAACAAAGAAACTTATTATTTGACAGTTAACCCAAACTTAATCCTTTTCTCAGGATCTTTTACCCAGCTAGACTTCAGAAGACTTGTTTGTAAAACTCTTTTCTAAGGAACTAAAGGTTTAATACCTATCCTTGTAATTCTCTACTTTGTTAGTTGTCATTGGCTCTGACCCATGGCGACCTTATATATAAAACCAAACCCAAACCTGCTGCCATCGAGTCAATTCCGACTCATAGTGACCCTATAGGGTTTCCAAGGCTGTAACAGAAGCAGACTGCCACATCATTCTCCCACAGAGCCACTGGTGGTTTCGAACCCCTGACCTTTCGGTTAGCAGTCAAGTGCTTTAACCACTGCATCACCTGGGCTCCTTGACCTTATATATGACAGAAGGAAACACTGCCTGGTCCTGCACCATCCTCACGGTTGTTGGTATGTTTGAGCCCATTGTTGTAGCCACTGTGTCAGTCCATCTCATAGAGGGTTTCTTTCGTTTTTTGCTGATCCTCCACTTTAGCAAATACGATGTCCTTTCCTAGCAATTGGTGTTTCCTGATGACGTGTCCAAAGTAAGCAAGACGAAATCTGGCTGTCCTCACTTCTAAGGAGCCTTCTGGCTGTACTTTTTCCAATACTGATTTGTTTGTTCTTCTGGCAGTACACGTTGTAAAAATGGCGTATGAGTGGTGTCTGACCTCCTCTAACTTCACAAGGGGGAAGGAGAATCAAGATCAACAGCCCAAGGCTGATTCCTATGAGGCGAAGGTCAGACATGCCTCTTCTCTCCACCATCTTTACCAATTCTGACACCAAGCCTTCCTCCCACGGCACTGCTTCTCTGCTGGGTTCAAAAATTCATTGCAATGGCCACACAGAACTCACAGACCATACTCACGATTATGGGGTTTATTAGGGAAGTAACAGGTTACAATTCAGGATCAGGAACGACTCAGGATACAGTTCTTCCATCAAGACAGCCTCTTCTCAGCTGTGCTCGCAGGCACGCCTCTCTCTGCCCCTCAGCTTCTGCCCTGCTCGGGCAGGTGTTACATAGCTCTTTTAGCTCTGCCAATATGTGCCCAGAGGCATCCCACTCCACCAGTGAGCCTCAGCCTGAAGGTACTCGGCTCTAGCTCTGTGGGTCAGCAAACCTAGCTCCACCAAGTGCTCAGAGGCACCCTACTCCTCCAGCAAGCCTTCTGCCCAGAAGCACTCAGCTTTCTAGCTCCGTGGGCCAGGAAGCCCACCAAGCCGTCTCCTGCTGCTGGCTATGCTGCCGGTCTCACCTGCAGCCATTTCTCTGCCACCACTTCTCACCATGTTCAGTGTTACAGCCCTCCCCACCCCTCAGTCTCTTGGTTCCAGGAGCTTCTCAGCTCAGGGATCCCAGGCCCAAAGGACATACTCCTCTCTTGGCCCTTCTTTCTTGGTGGTGGTACGATCATCTTCCTGCTCTGCAGTTGGCTCTTTTAGGCCTAGTGGGATGCAACACTGACCAGTCCCCTTGGTGGGCCACAATTACCTTATTTGCATAGTCCCACCCAGTCACTTGGGTGGAAGTCATAAGACCATAGCGAGAAAGGCCACACAAAAGCGACACATGTATATTCAATGTTCTTTGTCAACACCACAAATCAAATGTGTCAGCTCTCCCTCAGTCTTCTTCATTGTCCAGCAAGACAACAGGCAAATTACCATAGTTGGTTCAGACGTGCACTTGCACTAAGCATCTCTGCCTTACCCCAGCCAGAAGTAAGTTCTATACGTAGTTCGAAGAAATCATCTATTATCATTGGGGCCCTGTTTATGTTTTCTTCCTAAATATTATCCTATCCAAAAATGTAAACTTAAACAAGAAAGTCTCTGGAAGTAGAAATGCTAATATAACTATCTGAACCTTCAGAAACACAGGAAAAAAGTGATAAAGTTTGGCTAGAATCTGACATGCGTATTGTGGGATTCAGCATTACTAATGTTCATTTTGGAAGTCAAATGAGACCATTATTGAGATAGTACTAATACATGAGTAATTCTAGTGGAAGAAAATCTTCCAAATAAGAATATAAAATTTCCAAGAATAATTATGAAAGATAATTAGCCTTTCAAGATACCAAAATAGTTTTATTTCCCTTCACTAAGAATACAGGGCATGGCAGTGACAAGTGGAAATTTTTAAATGGAAATAAGTGAATTGCTAAACACCATAATCAAATGCCAAGAAAAGCATTATTCTCCCTCCTCATAGCTCATTAGCAACAGGAAGAACACTAATTTGTAAGAATGGTTTAGATTAAGCCTAGTCATGGAGACAGGATTTTTCTATGGCTGACATATAATAATAATCATCCAGAACTGAATTTTAATTAATGAATGTGATGTCTAAGTATATAATGTCAGGCAAAGTAATAGCTTTTTAAATTATATTACAAAGTAGATTCACCATTCCTTTAAAATGTATGAGAAAGAACTCTTCTCATGGTGAACTATGTTTAACTATACCTTTAAAATTATTTTTGCTCATTATGTACTAATTGAATTTGTATTTTCAGCAGTACCTGCTACATGATAGGTGTTCAATAAATGGTTGTTGAATCGAATTGAAAAGATACGTTCTTTAGCCCAGTTATGGATAAGACACCACTTTAATTCACATATGATTGAAATATACCCAAGACTAGGTGATTAGATCCCTTTGGTATGGCAAGAGATGGTGGCATCACTTCTTTAAAGCCATGTGACTTTTGAACCTGCTTCTCAGGTTTTCTTCTTATTTCTAACAGGTTTTATAATGGACTCAAAAGAATGTTTTCCAGCTTGCTTCACTTGAATTTCTCTAAGTAGATTACCACCATTACCTGTATTTGGTGGGAGATTTAAATAAAACAAAATTAAAATCAATTCATGGTTATTAAATATTTATACAACCCTCCATGTTTCCAAATAGGATGATTGGCAACAGGCTGAGTACAGATTAAGTGCCTGGTAAACAGAATACTTAAAGCATGCATTGTAGTAGTCATGGTTAAAAAAAATCTGAATGTCACCCACCTCCAAAAGTCATAAGCAGTGCCTGAAAATAGCCTGGTCTTATTCTGGTGCATCTGATACTGAATACGACTCAACTAATTTTAGATATTGCTTCAGAAAGCAGCTGAGGCAACAGTGGCACGATTTTGTACGTAGATTTGGCACATCTACATCATTCCTAATTCAGTTTCTGGACTCTGATTGCACTGAGGCATCTAGGCTGGCCACCCAGACTCTGAGTCACTCAGTTCTAATGTGAAGGGACGTGGTAACTAAGGAACCTGTGTTCCCTTGGCCCATTATGTTGCTAGATGCTAGATTTAGGTAAATAAGTAGAGAAACTTAAGTATTAAAAAATGAAAAAAGCAAGGGTAGCAACCTATCTTACAATGAATTTTGGCAACCCTATTTGATGATTGGAGCCCTGGTGGTGCAGTGGATAAGAACTCAGGCTGCTAACCAAATGGTCAGCAGCTGGAATCCACCAGCTGCTCCCTGGGAACCCTATGGGGCAGTTCAGCTCTGTCCTATAGGGTCACTGTGAGTCGGAATAGAATCAAAGGCAACGGATTTTTTTGTTTAATTTGATAATTACAAGCTTTTTGGATTAACAACCTGTGGTTTCAATGCCATTAGGTTCAATTTTAGATGGTAAAATAGGGTTGAATTCCTATGGTATGGTGTTCTTGCCTCACCTGCCTCCATTAACTTTCAAATTATATTAGCTGACCTCAACTACCCTTTGATCAGAAATAACTGAAATGAAATCCCTTTACCAAATATGGAGGGGAAAAATAAAG